GAACCGCTCCGTCCCCCTCACAGGTATAAAGCTGTCTGGCTGATCTTCTTCATCCTTGGGCTGGGAACACTGCTGCCATGGAATTTCTTCATGACCGCCAGGGAGGTGAGAGGTTCCATCCCACCACCGTTGGTGGCACTAACTGTCCCAGGTCACCTCTAGGGAGTGTGGGTGTAGCAGCATGGGACGGCATAAGGCCTCCAACGTTTGCAGATGGGGAGATGGGAGTGCGGGCAACCTGGGTGACCCTGAAGTGGCAAGAGGAGCCCTGGACTGGCGGTGGGTGGCAAGTGCAGCCCAAGTGTGCTGGGGGGAAGTTCAGCCCCACCTGGCTCCTTCCCTCGCAGTATTTCATCAACCGCCTGGCAGACACGGAGAACATGAACCACCTCTGGAACGAGACCAGCAGAGCTGCCTCACCCCCCTCCTACCTGCAGTCCATGTTTGACAACTTCATGACTCTCTGCGCCATGGTGCCGCTCCTCATCTTCACCTGCCTCAACTCCTTCATCCACCAGCGGTAAGCGTTGCCCCATCCTTGCCCCTGCTAGCCCCCACAGGACAGCCCAGCCCTTACCTGTCCTCCCGCTCCAGTGCTGAGCTAAATTGCAGCCTGTTCAGAGTCAAGTCAAAGCGCAGTCTCCCGTGCTGTGGTTCGGCTGGGCCTCCCATAGGACTGTCTAGGCCCCGGTTTTGGGTGCCTGTGGAGGGTGGGTTTTCCTCACTGAGACCCTCTTTTGCAGGATTCCCCAGCAGATCCGCATCTCAGGCAGCCTGGTGGCCATCGGGCTGGTATTCCTAATCACTGCAGTCATGGTGAAAGTCAGCATGAAGCCTCTTCCCTTCTTCATCTTCACCATGATCAGTATTGTCTTCATCAACTGTGAGTGGAGGACGGGGAGGAAGGAAAGGGGCAGTGCCCTGAGCTCCTCTCTAACGGCAGAGCCCCACAGCTTGGACTGATCGCTGCAGGGTGGAGAGCATAAACCCCACTGCAGAAGAGCCAGGGGAAAGGGAAGGGGCGGGGGCTGCCTTGCTCTTCAGGCCTACAGTATTGGTTGCAAAGTAGTTCCCCGCAGAGGTGCAGAGCTTCCTTGCCTTTGGTTGCTCATTTCTGCTTGTCCTTCCCCTCCACAGCCTTCGGTGCCATCCTGCAGAGCAGCCTCTTCGGACTGGCAGGGCTTCTACCTGCCAGCTACACAGCTCCCATCATGAGCGGGCAGGGCTTGGCAGGCACCTTTGCTGCTCTGGCGATGATCTTCAGTATTGCCAGTGAGTAATCCCTGCCCCGTGGGCGACAGGGGCTTCCTGGACCACTGCTGCCAACAAGGCCCGCTAGAGACTGCAGATCTGTGCCCACAGCAAGCGAAAAAGGGGCACAAGCAGGGGACCTCCTCCCCGAGCAGGGCCTTGTTCTGGGGTCACGCTATAGGGCTGGGTGGGCGATGGCGGCAGGGCCTTGCTTCCTTCAGCCCCCTTCATCCTCTTCCTTTTCCGCCCTGTCTCCTCCCTTCTTGTGCTCCCAGTTGGTGCTCAGCAGGCAGAGAGCTTCATTGGTTACTTCACCACAGCATGCGTGGCAATCGTGCTGGCAATCTTCTCCTACATCCTCCTGCCTCGCATGGTAAGACTTTGCCTTCTTGCTGGGGACAGTATGGGGACATAGGACCTTTGCACATTGCAGCACAAGGACCTTGGTCCACTGACATTCCCGCCTCAGCTCCTACCAGTGTCCACTTTCTGGGTCCGTCCCAGAGGAGCTGTCTCTGGGACTTCCCAGCTCAGATCTCTGTATCCTGGGGTACTGCATGGAAATGAGCCCCTGGGTGAGCAAGAAAGCCTGGGTATCAGACACACCTGGAGCAAATACTTTGCCCATATTGCATGATCTGCTGCTACCACATAGCCCCAAATACCTATTCCCCGGCAGCCTTCTTTCCGCACACATGAATGAGTTCTTCTCTTTGACTGTCTCTGCAGGATTTCTTCCGCTACTACTCCATGAAGGATAAGACAGAGTACCACGTGTACCATGCAGAGCTGGAGACCAAGAGAGACCTGATCAAGAAAGGTGAGGGGCTGAGAGGAGGAAGAGAAAGGGAGGAACTGCTGAGGGGAAGGATGAGACAGAAGGACTGAAGGTCCCTGCTGTCCAAGGTCAGCTACACCCTCTTCTCATCTCTCCCCACAGATGAGCCCAATGGGATGGAGAAGAATAACTCAAAGATCATCCCTATCCACAACCCTGATGAGAAGCCCTCAGTCCTCTCCATTTTTAAGAAGGTCTGTGAGTTGCCAGCAACCTCTTGCCTTTCCCCTCGCATCAGGGGATGGACACAGGTGTAGGGCGTTACAGGGCGTTATGGCCACCCCTGCACTGGTCTCTTCCCTTGTGTTTGGTACCAGCCCCTTTCTTTCATTTCCCCAGCTCTGGGTCATGGCTGTGTCCGTCTGCTTTGTCTTCACTGTCACCATCGGGGTCTTTCCTTCCATCACAGCTAAGGTGTCGACTGTACTTGGAGAGGGAAACAAATGGGGTAAGTGTGGCAGGTGTGGGGTGAGAGGAAGATGAGAATGAGAAAGAGCTAAAGGGGAGGAAAGAGAGTGGGACTGAAGTCGTAGGAGTGCCTGAAGGGAAGAGGGGACCATTGTGAGTGATGGCTTGGATGCAGACGCTGACCTGACCTGACTGGGAGAGTTCCAGCCCTTTGCGGGAAGCCAGGAGGGCTTAGACCTGCAAGATGGTCTCTGTGCAGTCAGCAGGAGGGGCTGGGGCACCCTGAGCTTGTCAGGCATGTTTTTCCCCTTCTGCAGGTCTCTACTTCATCCCTGTCTCCTGCTTCCTGATGTTTAATGTCTTTGACTGGACAGGACGGAGTCTCACAGCCTTCTTCACATGGGTAAGCATGGGGCAGGGAGGAAATGCTGAGGCTCTGCTCCTGGAGCGCCCAGGCTCTCTCCATCCCCTGGCCCCTTGGCCATTCCTCTTGCTGGAGCTGCCATCTGGAGCTCCACAGGGGAAGGAGGCACTGAGCTGATTCCTGCCCTGGCTTTGAGTGGAAAGCAAAGATTTATGGGTTAGATCTGAGAGTCACAGTATTGTCCTGTCCTCCTCCCACCCCTCTTTCCGTGTGGTTTGGACAAAGCTGCCTTCTCCATTCCAGTCTTTTTGTAAACAAACCTTCACTCCAGCTATGCAAACAGCCAGGCAGGATGGCGGCAAGGCAAGAGGGTGCAAAGATGGAGCAGACCAGAATAAAACCTCTGGCCTCCACGCAGGAGACAGCTGGTTTAAAAAGCCCTGCTTGGGAGCGGGGCAGAGCCATGCCATGTGGGACACTGAACTGTCCCCTGCCACGTCCCACATCGCCTTGCTGCCATCTCCCTTGCCCGTTTTAGAGCTGCTGGGGATGAGGGGTGGGAGCAGAGGCTGTGATGCCGGTGGGTGAGGAAGGGGACTGTGCTGTCTGCATCTCTTCCTGCCCCTTCACCCAACCCCCAGGCTCTGTTTCCCCCTATATTGTTCAGGCTGTTTGTTTGAAGAAACTCCTCACGGCGCCACACAACATGGGGTCTGTCCGGGCCTGGCTGTGCTGCGTTTCCCTGCAGCCTGGGGCTGCTTCTCTCCTGGCCATCACTGCTGGCTGCCCTTGGCCTTGGCCACGAGCCACATTGCCTGGTGTCCAGGCCACAACCTCAGTGGTGGGATAACCCAGCAGGAGACGTTTCCAAAACAACACTGTGTGGAAAGTTTGACTTCATGTGGTTTGGGCCTCGTTTTCCTGGTCGGGGCCCTGCTCTCTCCTTTCCTTCTCCCTCTCACCGAGCAAAACAGGATGCTGCCCTTGTGGGTTTGCCCACAGAGACAACAGTTGGTGTTACCTCAGTCACCCTATGTGCTCATGAAGAGTTCCATGGTGACACCAGCCTCCCAAGGCAACTGCGGGTCCCTTCTGACCAAGGGTCCTTTCATATGTGACCCTGATACCTCACTGAGGGGACTCCAGGCAGAGCCAGGCACATCTGTGACATGTCGTCAAGGGCCTCACACAGCCCCTGCCTTGATCCCAGCCGCAGGACAACATAGAGTGACAGTGCCTACTACTTTGTCCCAGCTCTACTCATCCAGGGACTTTCTTAGTGTCTTGTGAAACCTTAGCCCAGTCATTGCCTTTCCCAGCACTGTCTGAAACAATCCCAGTATGATCTCTTTCCCAGATTGCTGGATCTCACCCTGCTTGGCTAGGGGATGGCGTAGGAGGCTGAAGAGCTGGTTAAAACCCAGTTTGCAGGCGCTGATGTGCCAGAAGGGGTTTACCTCAGCCGGCCTTTTTCCTGGTGTGTTGTTTTGCTGCAGGATGAGATGGCGTGTGCGTGCACAAGGCTCTCCTGCCTGTCTGTTTCCAGCAAGTGCTTAGCAGTTGCTCGGAAGCGCAGCTCAGTATTTTGGCTCTGGTGCTGCTGCCCTCCAAGTCAGCTGGGACAGGATTTTTAGGGCAGTAGTTACAGCTGGTAGGACAGATGCCCTATCTGTCTTTCCTTCCTGCACACTGACTTCCCTACCCAGAGTGAGTCATGTACTTCTGCAGAGGCAGGACAGCCTGCACTAAGTCACAGCAGAGGAGCAGCTGAGCTCAGGGAATGCTTGCCAGGCTGAGACAGCATACCCTACCGAGGGAGGGAGGGAAAGATGAATGGCAGTGAACTTTTCCATCTCTTCTTACTGGGGAAGAAGTGTTCCCCAGTCACATCCCTGCTGAAGAGCCGGCAACAGTCTGATATTTTTGCCTCTTCTTTCTTTTGGGGACCAGAACACGCTGCCTGCACGATCCCCCTCTCAAGCCAGATGTTCTCCACATGCATCTAGCCCCTGATGTTTCAGACATAGGACCATGAGGCTTGTCCAGTCATCCTTGTCTCTGTTTCCTGCTGCAGCTCTCCTTACAATGCCTGCTGAAGCATGGCTCTGGGCAGCGCCCACATCAGTGACAGATGTCTGGCAGCGAGGACCTGCTTGTGAGCGGTGGCCTAGCAGATACCAGGAAGGCTGGGGGAAAAGAAAGAGAGAAGAGCACCCCAAGCCTCACATAGCTGTATGTGATGCTGAGGGAGCCCGTGTAACTGGATGCAGGAAGCTGTAGGATCAGGACAGGCAGACCCAGAGGTGTATGCTGAAAGTAGGCAGGCAGGAGCTGTGAGTCTGGGAGCCTTGCAGAGAATGGGTCAGGAACTGCCCTGATCTCTACCTCACATCCAAAGGTGATGCTAAGATTTGTTACATGAGGAAAAGCCTGAGCAACTTTGCCCTCTGTGTGGTTCCCTTCGGCCTCAGAGTAGTCAGCAGGTACAGCCCTTCTGCAGCCCTTGCTGACGTGCCATGGGACAGGGAACTCAGCTACTCAGTGACGTGTGTTTTTCTCCCAGCCTGGGAAGGACAGCTGTCTCCTGCCAGCGATGGTGGCCCTACGTGTCATCTTTATACCGCTTTTCATGCTGTGCAACGTGCAGCCCCGCAACTACCTGCCTGTCGTCTTCTCTCATGATGCCTGGTACATCGTCTTCATGATCTTCTTCTCCATCTCCAACGGCTACTTGGCCAGCCTTTGCATGTGCTTCGGGCCCAAGTGAGTAACAGCTGGGGACAGGGGAACAGCTGGTTACACCTGTGGATGTCAGCCCAGGCCTGGCTCCTTGAGTCCAGGCTCTGCCTAGCTCTGGCACCTGGATTCCTCCAGCGCAGAGGGAGATAGCCACACCACCTCCCCTCTGGGAAGACAACCCCAGTGTCCTCTCTCCCAGCCTTGTGTTACATCCTAGAGCTGAGGATGCTATTGTGTGGGCTCCTCATTTTCCCCATGTGCCACCCTGGGGAAGAGGCTGAACACAACAGGACTTTGGAGGCAGCAAAAGGCAGAGCAGCATACACAATGTGGTGAGCAGCCTTGTCCAGCACAGGAACACAGGCAGCAAGAGGAGGCCTGCTGAGGCTCAGCTGAGCAGGCTGCAGTGCATCAGGGCAGGAGCCAGGGAGGGGTGTTCTTGGCGTCAGGAGCTTCAGGGCAGCCTGCCTGATGTGTGTTTTTTTTTTTTTTTTTTAATGAGCCCGTAATTTAGAGGGAAGCTCTTGGAGCCGAGCAGGCTTTGCTCTTGCCACCCCCCTGCTGCGAGGGACGCAGCTTTTGCCTACTGTGAGGTCTCGTCCCGTCGCTGCAACTGAGGACACAGCGGGGCACAGAGCATGCTTTCCCCAGGATGGGTCTGACACTTGTTTCTCCCACAGGAAAGTGCTTGCCCATGAAGCAGAAACAGCTGGATCAGTCATGGCCTTTTTCCTCTCGCTGGGCTTGGCCCTAGGAGCTGCTGTCTCCTTCCTATTCCGAATTCTCATCTAGCAGAGGTACCTGGAGGCTGCACAGACACGGAGAGACAGCTCTGCATCCTCCTCTGAGGCCCTGGACACCTCAACGCCATGGGGAGAAAACACCACATCTGCCCCTGCCGAATTACACTGCCAAAGCAGATATTACAGCCAGGGACAGTTCCACTCCAGGGCTGGCCTGGCTCCTGCCATGCTCAGCTGTGTGATGCCTTCAGGCCCTCGTGCCTTTGCCATGCTGCAAGACCCCTGGGATCTCACAGAGGTCCAGCCATCCCCTCGTGCTGCGTAACTTCCCCAGCTCAAGACCTAAAGCCATTCTCAGCTACCTCCTCTCTGACAGGCAGAAGTGAGGGCTGGTGTCCAGTGTTGTTTCCTCTCCCGCCCGCGTTCCCAAGGCACCTGGGGACTGGATCTCCTTTTGTCTCCCAGGGGGCCTGGAAACATCTCACATCTCAACTTCTCCCCTACTGGGGAGACTTGAAAATAGGAAGGAGAGCCCCAGCCAGCCTTGCTCTCCTCATCCCCACTGTCTGCTACAAGCACATCCTCCTGCACAGTAGTATCCGAGAGACATGGATATCCATGTCCTACACGAAGAGCTGCCATCCAACACCATGGCTAGACTGAGGGAGGAAGAGGTCTCCACACCCTGCCTTTTCCTGCTCTCTTTGCCTTCGTTCCCTGCCTGCTTATTTCCCAGCCCCCTCAAAAACTGGTTAATGATTCTGCCACTGTTTCCTGTCTCCTATTCATGTGACAGGAGATGGCACCATGAAGTGCGAGAGGAAAGCAGGCGGCTCCCTTCCCACCCAGGCTGCCCTGCTTCCCCCCCTGCTGCAGGGGGAGCCTGACCTCCCCCATTGTCTCTTCCCTGCCTTGTAAATGTATCTGTACAGTTGCCTTTTTCTATAAAAAGACCAAAATGCCCTGTTGGGTATGTGTGTCTGTCTCCATCACCACAGGGAGGAGGGCCACTGGGGCTGAGCAGGGCCAGAGCTGAAAGGGTGTCCCTGGGGTCCCCTGTGGCCAGCACCAGGCGGCTGAGCGGTGTGCCCGCCCCCAGGACCTCACTGCTACGAGATGAGGAGGGGGTGCTGGCCTTGGGGCAGACCCCTGGCACCTCTGAGAAGGGGCGGAGGCACCTGCATGTGCTGGGGGCAGCCAGCAGCAGCCCGTGCACCCAGGAGCCTTCCCTGTGCCTGGAACTGCTGGAGTGCCACCTCCTGCTCCTGGGGAGAACTACATCACCTCGCCAGTGGCCACGGCCCCCACGCACGGCCTCCCTGCCCCACGCGCTGCTCACGGCCATCGCCTCCTCAGCTCCACGGGCTCACCTGCTGCAGTGCCTCGGCTCCCCGCAGACCCAAAAGGCCCAGAACTGTAGAGCCCAGGTCCCCTCATCCCGCCTTCTGCTAGCAGCTACCTGGGGCTTCTCTTGCAGCCGTGCCCAGAGGTCAGAGATCGCCCCAGCTCTGCCCCGTGAGGGATTCAGACTTACACGCCTGCAGCTCCAAGAGAAAGGATAAGGCACAGGATTTATCCTGTGTGCCCTTAGCTGCTGCTAAAAACTGCTTTCCAAACACCTTCCCTGCCAAGCTGACTTCTGATGGAGGAAACGGGTCTGCTCCGCCCTCTGAACCCAGCTCCACCAGCGCCCCTCAGCCCTGACGTGACCCCTGCAGCAGGTCCTCCCGCAAAGCCCTTCCGCTGCTGCCTGTCTCCTCCATCCTGCGTGTTCCCCCTCCGCGCTGCCCCGGTCCGCTCCTGGCTTGCACCCACAGTCTCAGAAAGGTCAGGACAGCAGAGCCACGAGTTCATCAGCCAAAGATGCGCCTGGAGCCAGCTGCTCGGCGCTTGGCTCTCGGCCTCAGGGGAGCTGTTGTCTCCCTGCACCGAGTGAAGAGCCCTGCGCATGACAGCTGCCAGCAACGTAGCATATGGATAAAAAGGTGCCTTGTAAACTACCCAAAGGGCTGACGCTTCCCTGGCTTTCCCTGCTGCTCCCCCACCCACCCCACAGCTACCGACAGGTGCTCAAGCCTGCAGCTGGTGTTTCACACATGGCCAAAGATCCTGACACACGAGGAAGTTAAAACAGGAAGCCCCCATGCTGTTCTGCTCGGCCGTAAACCCCCAGGAAGATGGCGGGGGCAGGGCACACAAGCTCTGCCCTGGGCCTCTGGCACCGTGTCTGCTGCCGCCCCAGCTCATTCCTATACAACCCCCAGCCTAGATCCCCGCTCTGCACCTTGGCACTGCCGAGGAAACACCAACGGGGGGATTAAAAAAGCTCATCTCCCTTCTAGCACTTGAGGGCATCCTGATGACTGTGACAATAACGCGCCATCAGCCCAGCTGAGGAGCTGCTCACAGCTCCAAGCACGGCCAGGGAAGGACCCAGGGCGTCCCCGCACGGGCAGGCCGCGGCCGTGCCCCCCTCGGCCCTTCTCCCCCGGCGCTGGGGCTCAG